TAAAACCATTTTTTCTACAACCTCTTCAGCTGGAGGTTGTAAAAAAATGCTTTTAAAGCCTCTGATGATCCCAGCTGACTTGCCTGCCCAGCAGAGGCTTTTTTTTTAAAAGCCTCTGACGATCCCAGCTGACTTGCCTGATCAGCAGAGGCTTTCTTTCTTTTTTTTTTAAGCCTCTGATGATCCCAGCTGACTTGCCTGATTGGCAGAGGCTTTTTTTTTTTAAAGCCTCTGACGATCCCAGCTGACTTGCCTGATCAGCAGAGGCTTTTTTTCCCTTTAAAAATATTTTTTCTATAACCTCTTCAGCCGAAGAGGTTGTAGAAAAAATGCTTTTAAAAACTTCTGATGATCCCAACTGAGCCTCACGATCATCAGAGGTTTTTTTTTTTTACTTTTAAAAGCATTTTTTCGGCCAAAGAGGTTGTAGAAAAAATGCTTTTAAAAATAAAAAAAAGCCTCTGATGATTGCGCGGCTCAGCTGGGCAATGGGGGGGAAAGGGATTTTTGCTACTGGTTCTCTGAACCACCCGCCTCCATCGCTACTGGATTGGGTGATCCAGTCCGAACTGGGAGCATTTCACCCCTGGTCTCATGGCTTCAGTGGCAAACAGTACCTTCCTGAGCTTCATTAGCCATCAGCTAGTCAGTTCACAAATAATCCAAAAAGAGATTATTATAATAGGAAGAATACTTACAGAAGTCCCAAAATGAAACTAGTGCAAAATGTATGCGCCAATAGCTTGTTCAAGGGGCAACTACATCAAGATCTTTATACTGTATATTGTAAACTTGAATTGTCCTAGAATTGTACTACTAAGTTAAGTTCAAGATATTTGTGGTTGCCTATAAAGATTTACATTGCCTTCTTTGCTATTCATCTACCCAGATAAGAAGACATATCCTACTAATGAAACAGTTGTTAAATTCCCTGGTTATGGTTGCTGTTGAGTCTTCAATGCCAACTCACAAAGTATTTTTTTGGGGTGTGCAATATTTATACCTCCGTCATTTTGAAAAAAAAGTCTAGACACCTCATATACCAGAAAACAGTAAGACAATAGCAGAATAATAACAGAATAGAAAGGGACCTTGGAGGTTCCTTCCAATATTTAATAATAATTATTTAAAAATGAAATTAATAATCAAATTAATAATTATTTATTAATATAACATTAATTATTAATTACATTATTAATAACTAAAACAAATATCAAAGAAAGCCAAAACAAGATCCAGTGCTGCACAAGGTATTAGTGAAATGCTCACTGATAAAACTGAACTTTGCAGTTTTTCTAAACGTTAACAATATTGAAAAATCTATATCTCTGTGGAAAGATTATTCATGGCAATGAGACTACTACCAAAACCATCTATTTCTGAGCTCCTTTTTGATGTGAGTATATTTAAAGAATTTTTAATTATAGTTACAGCAGATGACTTAACTAATCACAAATAACTTAGCAAGGCTGGACCTGGTTACAGGTAATCCTCAAAATCCCCTATTTTGTAATCAAAACAGGGACCAGAATTTCCATTGTTAAGTGATGTAATTATAAGGCACAACATCATGTGACTTTACCTCTTAGCTGCCCTCACTGCCCTGCACTCCAAGACTCCTGTCATCTTTCACCACCTTCTTTCTCCCACTGCTGACAAGATATGCCTATCCTGATCCTTAGCAAGGCAGCTGCTGCCACACGAGGCCATCTTCCCCACAAGGAAATTGCTGCAAGCAACCTGGGAAACTAAGCCTTGTGTGGCCAGCAGCTGCCTCACAAAGGGCCAGGGCAGGGATGCCTCATCAGCAGTTAGAGCAAGACGACAGTGAAAATCATCTAGGGCAGCAAGGGCCACAGTATGCAGGGAGCCAAAAGGTCATAGACAGGGGACAGTTACTCCAGTAGTGGGAGTTGAAGTACCTGTGCAGTCATAAGTGTAAGCAGGCTGCCAAGTGCTTGAAGTCTGATCATGTGACTGCAGGATTGCTATAACAGTCATAGCTTTGGGGACTGGTCATTACTCCCTTCAGCACTGCCATAATTTCAAATGATCTCTGAACAAATGATGGTAAATTGACACTACTTGCAGTTCTTGGATGGGAGAACATCAAGATACAAGAGGGCAGGCAAACTGAAAAACATCTCAGAAGATGGTAACAAACCACTTCCTTATTGTTGCCAAAAAATAATAATAATATGGATCTGTCCATGTAATTACAGCTGAGCTCAATTTGACATTTATTCTAATTATAAAATAGTTGTTTTTGTAAATTTGTTTCCCTGCTTTGCGATTATTTTATCAGTGAATAGGAAGGCATTATAATAAATACCTTGTTTATGAATAAACTGTTATCATTTATCTCTTGATACATCCAGAGAATCAGGTGGTGGCTTACAATCTACAGATACAACTCTGGTGAGTTACAAAAGATTAGCAAGATTTTTAAAAAATAATTAAGCTGTTTATTCTATTTCCCACTAAATAAGGAACTAAATGAGAATGCTTGGTGGATAATGAGGAAGTATTTGCATAAAAAAACATTTCTGCACTTGGTTGTGATACTAAATACACATTCCTGGACTGAGAATTTTTGAATGTCCTGTTATTCATTTTTTGCCTAAATCCATTCATCTGAGCTACACTTTTGTATCTTATTTCTACCTAGATGTCAGAATGCTTGACATTCTTTTTCTTTATACTTCACACTTTCATTAGACTGCTGAAATAAATGAGTTTTAAAACTGTTAAAACTGTCAAGAAAAATAGTATTACTAAAAAAATGAACACAGTACTAGCTATTTAACAATTACATTGACGTTTGGAATCAATTTTTTGTGTTTTCAAGAAAGTGATCCTGTAATGCCAGAACCGATCACATGAAGCCTTAATTGATTTGATTTCATGTATCAGCATTTTCCTGCTGGCGATAGTTAATGAGTTATTCTCTTGGTAATTCATCTACTTTCTCTCTTTCCTGAATATATATTTCTAAGGGGGTGAAGGGGAATATACGTAAAGTTGGCATCACTAACTATGCTTCCATTCTTTCTGAGCAGTTGGTGCTGGCAGAACTAAAGCATTAGAGTGTCTACTTGGCCGCTGTATTCAAACCACTTATCCAGGAACATATCCATTTTTGTAACTATGATTGCTTTCAGTGGTTACACCTTTATGGGCTTCTTCTCATGTTACCCTTTCATATACGTCAGATGACTTGTTTACATGGAGCCATGAATTTTGAAATGTGAATCAAATGTGCTTCTTTTTTTGGCCTAAAAAAGAATGAGAATCCAGAATGCATAAAGAAGAGAAAAGAAGGAGTTTTTCTTCCTATCTTTCTCTTGTTTTCCTTGGCCTGCTTCAGATTTCCCAAACCTCCACAGAAGATTTAAGGACATGAGGAAATGTATTGTGATCTCTTAGTGTTTCTATTGATGAAAAAGACATAACTGGATCCTAGTTCCGCAACTGATGAGGTTTTAATTTTCTAGTATAAAAATATTTTAGAAAATAGTGGTTGGATATCGTTACCTCTGCTCATAAAAGGGTGCTATATATTTATTTCTGCAGGATGGTAGAATGAAATCTAAAGATATTCATACTTTGACAAACATTACAATTGTTACTGAATCTATTGTATGTTTGCACAACCCAAACGGAGTAATTTCAGAGGATCTATAAATAAACTGATGTATTATGTCAATTAAAGCAAATGCCATATTTTATATAATGCAATTAAACAATTAAATTAAAAAATAATGACTAGAAGAATTAACAATATTGCACTTAATTGTTACATATAACCACTGTAGAAACATTGTAGACTAGAACATCTATATTTTCCACAAAGTAAGTACAGAGTAAGGCAACAATCATGCTTAACTTGCATTATCAGATATTTTTTAAATAATTAAATGAAGTTAGGAAAAGAATGTAACAGCCAAAGTTAAACATGAGTTAAACATCAGTAGTGTACTTTCTAAGTTATTTTTTGTTTTTAAAAAATTCTATTTTCTGAGAATAGCCTGATAACAAACACTTCAAGGTACACACATCAAAGTAACAGGAAACCTATTTGCTTTTATATATGTACCTATTTTTATAGTGTTCTTCCTCATACAGCTGATTTTATCACACAGGCTGCAATTCTCCAGCCATTCCAAACTACCATTTATTGACTTTTACAGAATGAATTATCTCCAGGTTCCTTTCTCAGATGCACACTATAGTACACTAAGTACATGTACTTGGGGAAAGTTGACTTCAGGCAAGTAACATTTATCAAAACTCACTGTCTGTGCTTTCCAGGTGTCTATCAAGTCAAGTCAATCTACAGAAAATTCTAACAACTAGCTGTTTTCAATTATACTTTTTCTAACATGAAAATATAGAGTCATTTGTTTTTATTCTAAGGACACATGGTCATTTTCTAGGACCATTATATATTCCAAATATGTCCATTATATAAAAAACCATGGTAATATGGCAAACATTGCTATTAGTGCTTATATTTTAACAAACTAAAAATCAAGGCTCACAATCGCTATTTCCTATTGTCCTTTCCTAAGATATGTCTTAGAACTGAATTAGTTCACAATAAATGAACACTTTTACCTATAAGAGAGGTTTCCAAAGGAAATGTCTATATTTAACTTTTTATAATATTTTGTACCAATAAGATCAAAACAAGAAGTTTCTGGCTGTTTTGAAAGTTCCTTAATGAAAACATACTTGACAGTTCCTCACAACTTTTAACCTACACAGCAAATTGTAAAAAACAAAACAAAAAACCCTTCTCTGGAAGTCAGCCTCATTAGGAGAATTCCTCTTATATATGTTACAGCCGAAAAATCTGTTATAAACCTGCTATCTGCCAATAACCTAAGATTTGCTCTTTGCCTTTTTCTTTAAAGGGAAAACACACTGAGCAATTGAAGCATCATTTTTTCCTTACCCAGAACTAAACCTCTGGTTGACCATCAAGTTCTTGAACTTACCTCTTTTCTTTTCTTTTCTTTTTTAAACGAAGGCAATAGCCTCAGAGCAGGAACTCAAAGCCTTCCAGCAACCCAGCATGAACTAGTTCTTTTTAGAGCTTCCAGGCTCTAAAGTACTTGCCGTTCCTTCTGGCTACAAACAGGGACACTCCTATCTCTGGGCTAATAGCCGCAAGGAGAAACAGCTAGAAGAAAGTTTGCCCACCCGGTCTTCCGCTCCCAGTTTTCATCCACCCCGTCACTTCTAGTCGGCACACCTTTCCCTCCCCGCCTCCGGGGAATGCCGTCTGGACCGTTAGGCCGGCCGTGCAACAGCTGGAGAGCTTTCCACGGCCTGAGAGCGGCTCCTGGAAGGAGGAGAGAAAGACAAGAGACTACAGGCGAACAAACCCTTTCTGTTCCCGAAACCGCTGTTCCGTTTTCAGCCAGCTTCATGCTCTTTGCTTGTCCCCACCTCCCCTGTCTACCACAGCCTTTTCCTGACATCATTCATTCTCTTACATTCAAACACACGCCCACTCCATTTCCAAACAGTGACTCACTCTAGAGCCCTGCTGCTGTTGCCGCCGCCGCCGCCGCCGCTGACATTCGAAGGCCGGGCTTGAAAAACCGGTTAAAGACCTCTAGAGGAACGGATATTTATTTATTTTTATTTATAAAAAGGGGCGGGGGAGGGGAAAGCCCCATTCTAAGCAGAAGAGTGGGGAGGAGGAAGATTTGGCATAGGTATTAAAATTAGATCGAGTGGGAAAACTTCATTTTCCCCCCCTAATTAACCATTCGACTTAGGGGAGAAAGGTGGAGAAGCCTGTTTGCAAAATTCTTTGCCCCTTTGACAAGCCACCTTAAAGAGACAAAACCTTTTGGCATGAAATAGGGGCAGAATCTGATCTTTAACAATGCTGCTGCTCTTTTCCTCACCATTCCAGCTCAGAGTTCACCCCAATCCCGTGTATTTTCCCTGTCCTTCAAACTTCCTTAGCTACAAATAAGTTTGTACCATCAAAACTCTGGAATAATTTAGCTGTAGGGCTCAGGAAGATGTACCTAATGGCCATTTAGCTCCTGCTTGAAGAGAAGTATTGAACAATTTGAACGCTGCCCTTCCTCTAGCCTACATTTTTAATTATGGAATCCAAAAGAAAAGTGCATCACATGACAAAGCTGTTTGCAATAAAAAAAAATAATTACTATATTAGAAACAAATTAACGATACACTCCCAGGCATACTTACTTGAACGTAAACCCCACTGAATAGCAGAAGATAATTTAGGTAGGCTTGTTTAACACTGTGTATTTATTCAATTATTTCACAAACAGAATAGCATATATAGTAGATATGATACAGATACTAATGTTTTACTTTGTTAGGGCTATTCTTGGGCATACGGATATTTAAATTAAGCTCTCACTGTTATTGTATCACCAGACCCCCAAACCCATGTTTTCAAAGGTGTAGGAATAGTGCCTCCCCCTTTTTAAAAAAAATCAACAAAGATGGAGCATTGTTGGAATAGAATAGAATAGCAGAGTTGGAAAGAACCTTGGAGGTCTTCTAGTCCAACCCCCTGCTTAGGCAGAAAACCCTATACCATTTCAGACAAACGGTTATCCAATCTCTTAAAAATTTACAGAATTGGATCATTCACAACTTCTGGAGGTAAGTTGTTCCACTGATTGTTCTAACTGTCAAGAAATTTCTTCTTAGTTCTAGATTGCTAATCACTCCTTGATTAGTTTCCATCCATTGCTTCTTGTCCTGCCCTCAGGTGCTTTGGAGAATAGCTTGACTCCCTCTCCTTGGTGGCAGCCCCTGAGATATCGGAACACTGCTATCATGTCACCCCTAGTCCTTCTTTTCATGAAACTGAATATACCCAATTCCAGCAACCGTTCTTTATATGTTTTAGCCTCCAGCCCCCTAATCATCTTTGTTGCTCTTCTCTGCAATCTTTCTAGAATCTCAATGTTTTTTTTTTTTTACATCGTGGTGACCAATACTGGATGCACTATTCCAAGTGTGGCCTTACCAAGGCATTATAAAGTGGTATTAACACTTCATGTGATCTTGATTCTCGCCCTCTGTTAATGCAGCCTAGAACTGTATTGGCTTTTTTGGCAGCTGCAGCACACTGCTGGCTCATATTTAAATGATTGTCCACGAGGACTCCCAAGATCCCTCTCACAGTTACTACTATTGAGCAAGGTACCACCTATACTGTACCTGTGCATTTGGGTTTTTTGCCTAAATATAGAACCTTACTTTTTGCACCATTTAATTTCATTTGGTTATTCATTGTCATTCATGTTGCTCAGTGTTTACTACATTTGAGCAATGAAGAGAAACTTCATTGAAGAAGTGAGACAACTTTTGTAATGAAAAGTGTTACCACTAACATATACACTTTAAAATTCGGGCACAACCCTGGCATTCGAAAAAATGGCTCAGCCATTCTGCACAATTTATAAAATACAGAACGACACTTCAGTGCCCGAAACGGAAAGAGAGAAGAATAAATGTAGTTCTTGGGTTTTAAGGACTGGAAATACACACCCCTCTGTGGGTCACAGGCTCCTTTTAATGTGGCCTTCCTAGTGTCGCAGCTGGCTCTGCTTTGCCCTGCTATGCCAGCCATTGAGGCCAATGGATAGGCCCAGTACCAAGGGCCTGCTCCCAGAGGGCCAGGGCATGTGCCTCATGGTTGCTTAGCAACCCCAGAGGATTTACCTCAACTGCCTTCCATCTGTAACCTGAACAGGTGATCATAGCAACCTGGGTGAGGTAGAGGAGAGCCTTCTTTACCTGTAGTGAATAGCAGAATCACCTTTTGGCTTCCTCAGGAGAAAAAGGGCCAGCTTTGAACCCAGGGTCTTCTTAGTCACCAGGATAATTCAAACAAGTTCCCAGGAAGTGGCGGCTCCTTTGGAAGTAAACCTAACTGAACCAGTCACCTATATTTTTTTTATTTGAGGCTGCTGGTTGTAGAAACAGTGTTCTTTATACAGGTAGTCCTCAACTCAGCACAATTCAGCCCAAAGTTTCTGTTGCTAAGCGAGACATTTGTTAAGTGAATTTTGACCCATTTTTTGACCCTTCTTGCCACAGTTGTTAAGTGGGTCACTGCAATTGTTAAGTTAGTGACATGGTCGTTAAGTGAAACTGGCTTCCCCATTGACTTTGCTTGTCAGAAGGTTGCAAAAGGTAAACACATGACCCTGGGACACTGCAACCATCATAAATATGAACTAGCTGCCAAATGTCCAAATTTTGATCATGTGACTATGGGGATGCTGCTTCGGTTAAGTCACTTTTTTCAGTGTTGTCGTAACGTTGAATGATCGGTAAATGAACTGTTGTAAGCCAAGAACTATCTGTGCAGCTAATCCTTACTTACTGACCTCAGTTGGGACTGGCAACTCCATTACTAAATGACTCATCTTTAAAATGAAATGTCACATGACTATATGGTGACGTAGGTATATCAATTCCAGCTGTGGCTGTGAAGCAAATCATTTGTGGTCATTAAGTACAATGTCATGTGACCATATGTGCTGGTTGTCAAGTGCCTGATTCATGATCACATAACCATGGAGATGCTGCAAGGCCACAACTTTGAGGACCAGTCAGAAATCTCATTTTTCAGTGCTATAGTAACTTTAAATGGTCATATATTGTAAACCACTCAATGTTGCCTTGCATTGCGAGATGAATGGCATATGCATTTGATAAATGAATAAAATAAAATAAATTGGAATAGTAGTCAGTAAGTGAGGACTAACTGTACTGATTGTTTTGCACACCCTTAGTTGTGGTAGTTCAGATATCACTGAAGAAACCACAGTTGTCTGGGATGAGGCAACATCAGTGGTGAAATCCAAATTTTTTTACTACTGGTTCTGTGGGCCTGGCTTGGTGTGGCTTGGTAGGCGTGGCTTGGTAGGCGTGGCAGGGGAAAGATACTGCAAAATCTCCATTCCCACCCCACTCCAGGGAAAGGATACTGCAAAAACTCCATTCCCACCCCATTCTGGAGCCAGCTAGAGGTGGTATTTGCCGATTCTCTGAAGTACTCAAAATTTCTGCTACCAATTCTCCGAACTGCTCAAAATTTCCATTACCAGTTCTCCAGAACTTGTCAGAACCTGCTGGATTTCACCCCTGGGCAACATTTTAAGAAACCAAACACATATCATATCATGACCTAAACTTTTTACCTAATCTGCACAGTATCAAGAGTATTTAATTTGTATTTATTTTATATAATATGTTGAGATGTCCAACCAGTATATTGTATTAAAACACAGTGGATTAACTAACTGCAATGTCCCTTTAATTGCAAATGTAGGCTTCCTCTCCTGGCATTGCCTGTGTTGGAAACCTGTTCATGGAAGTTACAAAAATGTTTGGAGTCAAGTACCGGTATATAGGTACAATTCTAACAGATATCACATGATGGCGATTGTTCATAAACTTCATTGATAGGCTTTAAAATTATGGTTGGATAATATGGACTGAGAGATATTAAGTATATCCATTTAATCATCCAACATTAATGCACAAAAAGTTGTATTTTGATCATCATCTCTCAATCAGAAGGGCTAGTTTGATCAGTTGGAAAGAAGGTCTTCTTTCTCTAAACAGCAATCATTTACTGTAATCATTTTTCTCCTCTCATTTGGCTAATACACATCCCATGCTGTTCTACTGGATTTGTCCAAACTCTGGAAGCGGATTATGGAAAATAATATCTGAGAATATTACTTGTCTGGAAGACAATTAAAATCCACTAAATAATTGGCATTTGGGGGGCCAGTGATCACCCTCCCCCCAAATGCCAATTATTTAGTGGATTTTAATTGTCTTCCAGACAAGTAATATTATTTCACTAAATAACATATACAATTTATAATTAGTATTAGAAATTTCATGTATAATTTTAAAAGAAAAAAAATGTTATCAAGTTTTTTTAAAAAATTGTAGCTTGTTACCATCCAAGCCAATGAAAATAAATTGCTGTTAAATTATCAGAATTTGTACTTTTCTTAGTGTAAATATCATATACAGTGGAACATGAAATTAAATTAAAAGAGTAACCCTTATCAAGTTTTTAAAAGCAAAACGTATTTATTATACAAAATCTTCTTCAATCTAAGTATTTTTCTCAATTTTTTCAAGATCAAACTTTTCTATTAGTCTGTACTGAAGCTAATTGAATTTATTTTTCTAAAGGCATTTCTTTCATGAAATCAGAGTGGCATAACTGGAGCAATACTATAAATGGACACAATTGGTGCTTTAAAGTTAAGACTTCCAGAAAGATATTAGACTGATCTTTGAATAAGCATCACATTAGAATGCAAGAGAAGCACCATGGTTTTTTGAGAATGAAATTAACAATTGTACTGTTGTGACTTCATTTTTGCTAGAATTCATCCGTTCAGAAAAATGTCACAGAATGTAGCATTTTACACCCCTTCTCTTTTTAAAGAAGTTTTTGCTTGAATGTTTAACCAGACAATATCATAAATTTTCATCTCAGATATGGCTTCCACTAAATAGTTAACAGAAACTCTCAATCCAGCATCTCGATGATTAATGGACTTTTATCCTTGTAATAGTTTTGTCACCTAAATACATATTATTCCTGCCCAACCCCATCTTAAGATAAGCAATGAATCAGAGGACAAAGACCATACAAGAATCCCCATTACAGTTAACAGCTTAATCCTCTTCCCTCCCCCCTCCCCCGCATTCTAATCCAACCTACTCAAATTACTCTTTGCTCCTTTTTATCTGTTTATGATTTGTCTGCCAGAATCAGGAACTCGGTGAGGAGAGTTTTCATATTTTTCCCAAGGATGTTTTCCTCTTGGAAATACTATGTCAAAAGTAGATTTTGACTTTACTTCTCATTCTTCCCAATCTGGCCTACTTTACAAGTTAGTTTTAAGGATGTCAGGATAGTACTTCAAAGGGGTTTTAATGCATAAGGCTGCATGTAACCTAAAAGTGCTATTTGTCATCTTTGGAAGAGAACCTTTTAGGCCATGGCACCCAGCCTGTGGAACATCATCAGAAGATCAAATTGGCCCAAACTTGCTGGCTTTTTGCAAGGCCTTGATGACAAGATTTGCCAATAGTCAAAAGAAGTGTGGTAGAGCCAGTGAAGTGACTGTATTGATTGTTTTGATAAAAGGCCTGGTGTTGTGACCCGTACGCGGCCTGTGCAGCTAATAGCTGATTCAGACAGGGAGGAGGCTGGTGTGGTGCTGCGCCAGCAGCCTGTGCAGCTGGCACTCGAGTTGGACAATGAGGAGGCTGGAGAAGATGTGGTGCCAGAGACGGGGATTCAGCCAGGGCCTTCAGAACCTCCAGAAGCTCCCTTAAGTGAAGAGGATGAAGAGGAGGAGCCTCTTCTCGATGCATGGGCGTGCAGAGCTGCCAAAAGGCAGGAGTGGCTCCTCAGGAGGAGGTCTCCTCGAGAGTAAGGCTTGGGGCTAATTGGCCACTCCCTTAGCCTATTTAAGGAGGAATGCCGACTGAAGCAATTTGCAGGGAACAACTTAGTTCACATACCTTCGTGTCTTGTCTTGCTTATCTTATCAGCTTCCTGCAAATTGCTTCTGGGCATTCTGCCAACCGTAGTAAGCTTTCAGTTATTATTCTTTTAATTCTTGGTGGCTGTTAATGCAATTAATTAACAGCCGTTGTTTATTCAGTAAACTAAGGTTTGAACAGATTTTGTGTGTGCTGCGTTCTTTGGGGTCCGGAGCTGGGGCAGAACACCTGGAGTGCTTTCTGTGAGATAGGTGGCTATACAAATTTGATAAACAAACAAACAAACAAACAAACAAACACACACATGCATACATACATACATACATACATACATACGTAATTTAAAATAGTTCTTGTTGTATAAGTATATATATTCATATATAATTGTAAGACATCCAAGTCATATAAAATATTAATGAAAAAAGACACAGTTGCAACACTAGAAGAAAAAGACATACTTTAAATAACATTAACCCATATATTTGTTTATTAATGTGCTTATGATGAAAATATTTTTCTGTTGGAATGAGATGAAAAAGCTCACTTGCCTATAAGATAAATAATTAGTGATAGTAATGATACAACATTAATTGTATTGTGTGATAATTAGTAACAATACAATTGAGAGGGTAGAAGCAAGAAAAGAAGCTGGTGATAGTTGGGAAGAGTAAAACAGATTAAAAAAGAAAACAAGATTGTGTGCCTTTAAAATATCCCTTTGGTGAACTAAGTGGTCATTCTATATTTAACTATGAATAAGGAATTTTGCTAAATTTTAAGTACTGCTTTAAAAAAGTTTATATCCTATATTATCTGTACATATAATGTTATTCTTAAATACAACTTTAATTATTCATGATCAATTTATCCTTCATGATCAATTTGACTTGGTAAGAGACAGAATATAGCTTTTTCTCCTTCATCTAAGATGCTTCAAAGGACAGATAAGCATAAAGGGGACCAGAATATCAATCAAAAGATCAAGCCTCAGTATACAATCTCAATATACAAATGTTTAAATATGAATTAAGTATCTAAAGGAAATGTATTATTTTCCCAAACAGTATAAACTTGAAACACATTATACAGCATGTGTCCGAATGAACTGCATTTCCCCACAGCGGTGAAGAAAAACATGGCACTGGTGGCTTAGTGGTTAGAATGCAATATTGCAGATTAACTCTGCCCTCAGCCTGGAGTTTGATCCTGACAAGCTCAAGGTTGACCTTCGATCCTTCCAGAGTCGGTAAAATAAGGACCTAGATTGTTGGGGGCAATATGCTGACTCTGTAAACCGCTTAGAGAGGTCGGTAAAGCACTATGGGGCAGTGTATAAGTCTAAGTGCTATTGCTATGGTAGACAGACAGATGATTGCCCATTTAGTTCTGTAATACAAAAGGAAAATTCAGCATTGAAAAGAAGTTTGTTGAACAAACACTACCCTTCTCAATGTTTCCTTTGCTACTAAAATATCATTCATAGCTGTAAATGTGAAACACTATGTATTGATCAGAATAGGTAAGTTCATTTAGCGTACACTTATATCAACTATAGTAAATTTAGATCCTCTTATCCAAAATATTTTATGCCATATCTTGTATTTCGCAGAAAAATCAAAGAAGTACAATTATGTTAAAAGGAAAATAATGTGTCTTTATTTGGACAAGGCTATAAAAGCTTTAACATGGTTTTGATGAGCGCTAAACATTCACAATGATATAAATCCAATAGGAATTGAAGGAATTGAAGACTTAAACTGTTTACTTATTGCTGTTGTTATAATAAATTAAAAGGAATGCTATAAAGCACTGTCCATTGTTGAACTATTAAGTCAGCCTTCTGTAATCTGGAGCTTTCAAGAAGCATTGAACTTCAAATTCTAGTTTCTGTTGAGGGAGAACCAGCCATTCATTTAATAGAAGAGAATGTTTGTAAAGCACTTATCTTTCTGGTTTCTTCATCCCAAGCAGTCCTTCCAGCTCTCTCTAAAATCTACAAGGAAGACCCAAAGGATTTTTGCTAAATTAGATTGTGGTGCGGGAACAGAGAGACACCTCCCAAAATGAGATGGTTCCATCATGAGTGCAGCTGTATCCACAATGTTGTTTATTGTCCAATGGGGGGTGGGGTCCTTTTCTGATCTACACTCCAGCCAAACCTTTCAAATGGATCCCTCTACTACTCTCTGTAGCAGTTGAAAAAAGCATATTAAGTTATTGCTGTGGGATATTGTAGAGAATGGAAAAAACATATGTTGCTCAGAACTGAATTGTGTTCTAATTCCCCTTACATGCAGACTGAATTGCCTGCAAGAATAAAATCAAAGACCATGGAGAAATTGAGATCAACCACCAGAGGTTTATGTATCAGAATCTGAATCCAATCAGATAGCTGGGTTTGTGTAATATGCATGGTTAAAATGTGCTTGGTTTATAGTTTAGTGTGCTTGCCAAATCAAGTTAGTTAAGTTTAGATTTTATCAGATCACAGCTGTAGAACTCTGGACAACCATTAGATGACAACAAAAAATTAAGACTTTTCTGCATGTCTTTCCTGCAATGGTTGAGAATTTAGAGACAACAACAGTAGTACTGTGGTTAGTTCATGCTTCAGTGTATTTGGTACACCCTGGCAAATGGGTTAATGCAGTAAACCATGGTTATATCTGGTTTAGCATTCTGTACAAACAGACCCAGTGAGATGAATTCCCAGGGAATCTTTACAGATAATTGTAGTTGTAATGTGTAAAACATTACTTAGCTATAATCTGTATTTGAAGAAAGCAGCTAGAATTAGCAAACCTATTTACTCTTTAAATTCTCCATGATCCCTAACCATATGATATTACCTCTGAATCCAGATTATGTGTAAACTGAATCTTGATGATAGCTAGAATCAGGTCTGGTTGGGCAAAGATTGGAACTCATGGAGAGTATGGATATTATGAGATTGAATAAATCTACATTTTTTTTGTCTTAACTGGAAATGGAGGGTAGTCCAAAACAGAGCAGGATACTTAGTTTCAAAAAGGCTGGTTAAAAAGCCATGTGGAATTTGAGATAAAGTGGTGGTATACTCATCTCCATTAGCTAATTTGCTAGTGTTTGCAAGTCTTTTAGTGAACAGGAATTCTGCCTTATCACAGTTGCTGCCCACAAGAAAATGTGTAAAGTATCTCCCCTGCGAAATTTAGCACAATGTTTTCTAGAGGACATGAATGTGAACAGATACTGGGTATGAAGCTTCAACACACCATGCATTTAAGCCTCATGAGTTCAGGATGAATGCCTGTAGAGACCTTGAATGCTGCATGCTTCCCTCTGAGACATGTTCTCTCAAGAACTGCAATCCTATTTCTGCTGGTATGTACTGTAAAGAGGCAGGATGAATCAGCAATGTGTAGCTGCTGACTGGCAATTGAAAGTGAAATATATTAATAATCAGTGATATTTGAGGACAAAGGGAGCCAAAGTTACTAACAGGCTTTTCAATCCTAACAACAAATGTGCACACAATAGTAAAAAGCAGTGTTTGCACAAATCACAAAGCTGCAGAATATATTAATAAGACAGCTTTGTCATTTTAACCCCTAATACACTCAGCTCATTAACATTTTTGGTTTACCATGTTATCTAAAGCCAAAATGGTCATCAGAATTTTAAAATGCTATTACATCTTTGGTATCTATTCTCTTTATATGCTTTAGTAATGTAAAATAGTACATCTAAAAATATTTTGCCTGTTCAAACTCTAAATTCAACAGGAAGACCAGATATCCAGATCTGCCATTAATCAACATTTTGGGCATAAAGAAGCAAGTACATTAAGAGAACAATAATGACAACTTAATTACAATTTATTGCCCTTCAATGGTGCTCAAAATCTGTTGCCTGAGGTACCTATCATTTAATGTTTATATAACTAAAATAGGAAATGCACATTATCTTAATAGTAAATGCTCATTCCAACTATGTATGAATCTCCCATTATTATCTTAATGTGTGCATTAACACTGGAATGCAAATCCATTTTTATCATTTCCAGATATAATTAAATGTTGGACTTCTGTATTAATTTTGAATTATATATCAGGAACCTTCCAACCATTCACTGGGTGTCTGTGCTATGGAAACATATGTTGTGCTTTAAAAATAAGTCATTCAACTGTTAGTATATTTTATGTAATTTAAGAATCATGATATATCATGCTCATTTACAGCAAATGAAATTATATATAAATAACTAATGACTAAATAAATAATTTTACCCATCTTTTAAAAATCCAGAAAAATAATTTGATGTAATATCTTCAGAATAACAACAGTGGCAACAAATATGTTTGTTTATAAAAGTCTTTTTAAAAAATCAGTTTTATTACATCATATAAGCTTTCCTGAATTTCAGCATGATAAAACTGGTTTGCCTTCAAGATACCACAGAACTCTTAACAATTCTGCTGCAAATAAAGGAGACACTGAAGGAATAATAAAACATAAAGGTCACATTTACAGATGTTCATTTTCTTAGCAGTACTATATTGACCATTGTGACTAGTACTATAACAAAAGATATATACATGCAAAAATATATCAGAATGTTAAAAGATATTTTATCAAGATACTAGGATCATCACATGGTAACATGTATCAATGTATTAGGATAGATATAAAATTTTTATTTATTAAATTTCTATATCTCCTATCTAACTAATACAGTGACTCTGGGCAGCTATAGCAGACCAGGAGGCAGGAATAATTAATTATAAATAATATAGTAATAAAAACAGGAAATGGAAAATAAACATTGGATATTCTAAAACCAAAATTTCTTCTATTTTATGGCTGATGTTTTAAGATTCTCTCGAGGGGCTTTTGGTTAATACCAAGAAACTGTTAAAATATTTTTGTAAACTATGGGTACTATATTATAAGAAGAGTTGGTCTTTAATTTAAATTGATCTCAAGCCATTTAGTGTACTTGAGGTCAAACTATGTATTTTCTGTTTAACCATATTCTATTTTTTTAAAAAGATGAAAATGGATTGACGGCCTAATTCACACAACTTTACAAATACTTTTGGTACCTGATTAAGAGTGATATTTTCCTAATTTATAAATGTGGTTAGAATAGAGACAGAAAACTGAGAGCAGAAAAAGATATAGTGGTCTATTCAGTCTGTCGTTTGAGGGTTTTTGTTTGCTTGTTTGTTTTGCTTGTTTGTTTTGCTTGTTTGTTTTGTTTTTAATTAATTATTTTTAATTATTGTTTTTATTTTTTAAATTTAAATTTATTTTTAACGTTTGTTGGATGATGGACAAGTGTTTGTCCTAATGTCAAGTGTGGGAAAATCAGGAAGTTCAGGCAGTTCAGATATGCTTGATGGAATTTGGGAGGCATATTCAAATAAATTGACCTTTTGTAATTGTTTTTGTTTGCTTTGTTGAGCAATTCTTAGAAAATTAAAGAGATATTGATCAGTAAACTCGTGGTTGGCATATATATGCATATGTGCGAGCGAGTGTGTGTGTGCGTGCACACACACACTTTGTATGCCTCTCTTAATTCCATAAATAGAAGCAAGTGTGTAGGATATCTAATGTATTTTTCTATAACTGTTACAAAAAGTAGTGTTTTGGTCTCTCTTTAACAGCCTTGATGTGGCAGTATGTAATAACATGCTATTTAGTTAACATATTTTCCTCTCTTTACAGAATGATGGCCTGGAACAAATGTCCTAAAATATATGCCTTGTACAGCAATTAGATTGTAACCCAGTGTGTCAGATTTCATCAACATTCTTCACAGTTGGAATTACTGGAGTTGAATTTCATCACAAATGAAAGGTACTAGATTGGGAAAAAATGCATATACCTACTACATCTACCATAGTTATAGTGGCTGAGATTTATGGCTGTTGTAGTTCAATACTACTGGAAAGTACCAGATTGGGGAGCTGAAATCAAGTATAATGGCTTTGTTTTCATGACATCATTAAGATAATATTTGACAACTCAATTCATCCTTCCTGCAGTGGTGAAGTTAAAGAATTAGGAATGCATGCATACTTTTAAGGAGTATTTGTATTCAATTTACACAGCAGTTTATAGTTTTAGTGTAGAGAATGAAAGTAATGGATTCTGCAGAAGTAACATTGAGGGTATTTATTAAAATTGGCATTAAAAACTTTTATTGATTTTGCATGGGGTTTTTATGAAAAGAACACAAATCATCCATTTTAAAATAAACAACACTGTAGAAAAGTTCATTGGAATATTTATGACCACCAAAATACCCGAATCCAAGCTTAATGTAACATAAACATGCTAAATGTTTATTTTTTTTCATAGTATGTATATATTGCCCAGTTAAAATTATGTAATAATTTAGTCTAAAGCATTAAAACAGAAAAATCAATACAAAAATAATATAGCAGGATCCAATATCCTAGGATATGTATATTTGCCTTCATTTATAAGAATAATATAAAATGAAGACTGGATACTAGAATAAAACTGATAGCAAAGTAGTAATTATAGAAGAAACCCCAGAATTAAAAGTAAATACAGTGGTACCTTGCTATCGGGTGAAATCCAATTTTTTTTACTATCGGTTCTGTGGGTGTGGTTTGGTGGGCGTGGTGTGGCTTGGTGGGCGTGGCAGGGGAAGGATACTGCAAAATCTCCATTCCCTCCCCACTCCAGGGGAAGGATACTGCAAAATCCCCGTTCCCTCCCCACTCCTGGGGAAAGGATATTGCAAAATCTCCATTCCCACCCCACTCTAGGGCCACCTAGAGGTGGTATTTGCCAGTTCTCTGAACTACTCAAAATTTCCACTACCGGTTCTCCAGAACCTGTCAGAACCTGCTGGATTTCACCCCTGCTTGGGTATGTATCATTAATTGGTTCCAGGAGGTGTGATGAGTACCAAAAAACGATGAGTACCAATCAAAATTTTCCTGTAAGGAATAATGTAATGAATCACAAGTCAGCCAACACCGACAAGTTCTAACTTGTGGTTTGAGTACCAATAAACAATTATTACCAGGACAAAATTTTCATGTCAAAATGCCTTGAGCACCAAATTTAATGAGTTTCAAAGCAGTTGAGTACCAAGGTACTACTGGCCTGGAGAGATATGGTCTTCATACTGGTACTATGAAGACCATAATATGAACACCATGTGAATCTCTCTTGTTGTGGGTAAAACTTCCCTCTGCATAGTAGGAAACAGACCGGACAGCAAAGAGATACGTTGCTGGTTAAACACACAGATACTCACAGACTCTGAACGGTGAAAAAACAAACAGTCTTTACTCTTAGTGAAAAAACAAACTTGGTTTCTCAAAACAATGATAACACGTCTTCGAATAATCACTCTCCAACACAAAACATAGTTTACTTACAGTTCTCTTCAGTCACACACAGTCCCTCTTCAGAAGATCAATCATCAAATAACAGAAGCAGGCGCTCCCAGGCTTCCTGTCTACTTTTATGGCTGCCTGATAATAGCACAGCCAATCATTCTTCCTATAACATTTAAAGACACAAACATAGATTTTCTATATATTACCTACCCAACCGTAGGATAAATATCCAACATCTCTGCAGAGATTGCCTCATGCACCTAATATGGTTAATACCAAAACCTCATAGGAAGGCATATACAACATCAGCCTGTCCCTGTTAACTTGCAATCTCTTTTAGGCTAATTTCTAGAATATTTTATCAAATTAAGTTACTGATATTTTAAATTAAGTATTGATAACTGATATATCAAATGATATATCAGTTAATCAATAAAGTAATTATTTTTAAATTTTTGGTGTGGATATTTTTCTTGGATATTTCTGCAATATTTAGAATTTGTCAACACATGATGGTTTATGGAAGTTTCACGCATCTGGAACTGGGATAGGCTCACAGGTTGCAAATGCACCCAATAATAAACACATAAATACAGGGAAGAACAGATCATGTTATGTTTCTCAGGGATTCCGTGAGCCTATTCAAATACATTGACTATTGGAAAAAACCAAGACCTAGAAGTCTTAATGAAGGAAGTCTAATATGATTAGTAGCCATTACTAAGGAATGAAACTGATAAGTGGAATGCAAGAATTGAACCTCACATATACTTCAAATGCAACTTATTTGAAAGGGGTAGGTAGGTAAGATGGAAAATGGAGAAGTAGCAGCATTAAATGTGAAGGAAGCACACACAGTGTGGAAATCCAGGAGCTTTACGTTGAGAGTCCATAAAAACCACTTCAGTTCACGTACAAGGAAGAGAAAAGAACAAAGAAATAGCACACTCGGGACCTATTTCTAAGTGCTATGTTCTTGCTATGTATCAAGCAAGCGGCTCAGACAAAGAAACACAGCTTAAAGCAGAAGTTATATTCAGCTGTACCTGTTTTGATCCATCAGTTCACATATTTATAAGTGGATTGAAAAACTAATTTGGCATGTTGTCATTCTAATTTCTCATAATGCCCTAGCTTAGAAGCCTGTCATTTACTGGTTCTGTGTAACACAATGACTGACAAACTAAGCTCATTTTAGTGTAATGTAGAAACCAACAAATCTGTTTAGTTAGTGCTTCAGTGTGCTATCAGAAGAAACTACAGTTGGGTTAATGATGGACAAGTCTATCAAATGATCATACCCAAACTATGAATACCCAAAGTATGAAAAATTAAATACTTTGACTCAAATTCAGATAATGTAAAATTACTCATATCCCAATTATTGCTCCTGGTAAGCAAAATTTTGGTAAAATCCATTAGACTTTATGCTGAAATTTTTTACTATTGGTTCTGTGGGCATGGCATGGTGGGCATGGCAGGGGAAGTATACTGTAAAATCTCCATTCCCACCCCACTCCAGGGGAAGGATATTGCAAAATCCCCATTTCCTCCCGATCAGCTGGGATTTGGGAGGCAGAGAATAGATGAGGGCAGGGCCAGTCAGAGGTGGTATTTACTGGTTCTCTGAACTACTCAAAATTTCCGCTACCAGTTCTCCAGAACTGGTCAGAACCTGCTGAATACCACCTCTGATGTAGTGTGACTGTATTTCTATTATCCTTCTCATCTTTTCTACTACTTTCTCCTATTGGTATCTTATGATTGTACTACTTTGTTGTTTGTGTGTATACTGAGAGGTTATGCACCAGAGACAAATTCCTTGTGTGTCCAATCACACTTGGCTAATAAAGTATTCTACTCTACGCTACTCTACTCTACTCTACCCTACTCTACTCTACTCTACTCTACTCTATTCTATTCTATTCTACTCTACTCTAATTTCTTTTGACCATTACATAAAATTGGTTTTGTCCAGAAGAAGGTCATTGAAACAGTTTGCTGTATCAAACTTAAAAAAAAAGATTAGGGTAGATGATTTCAGGAACCTGCAAAGAGAAAGGAATATGGTTTAAGACTTGGCTACATACATTCTATCAATGATACAGGAAAGGACACCACAACTCCAAGAATTGGATGTTCTCCAAATTTCATAGATAAATAAAAACTTACTCAGTTTTGAAGATTTATTTGTTCTTGTTTAATTGGAATTACATTTGTATCTTTTTCCAGAATACTACCAAAACTTTCAGAATTTCCAAAGAGGCACAGGTATGATACCTGTTAATTCTCATTATAGAGTTTTCATATATTTGTCAGTTCAAATATATTTGAACTGTGAATTATAGCATATGATTAAGTACACCACAAAAACCTGCCATTTTATTGCTGTCCCTGAAAATGGAGTTCTTTAAGGATAAAACTTCACAAGCAAGAATTGGGAAGCCCCAACTATACAAAAAAGATGTATCCAAGATATATATATGATGACCCTATGTCTTTTTATTATAAATGTAGTCCTTTATTTCAGAAATCTTTAGATTTATTTATATTTATCCTTTGGATTATTTTTCAAAAACTCATTATTTGTTCTTTTTGTCATTTAAGATTTACTATCCAAATATATCAGTTAATGCAGTCTTTCACATTCATGTGGAAAATATAGAAACTGAATTGTCTTTTTTAAAATGAATTTACATATTTACATATACTGTTTGAGTTTAGATATTTTTATTTGAATATACATTTTTGTGAAGTTTTTTTTAGTTTTGCTCTTGAATTTTCCTTTGTAAAGCAAAGTTATAAATGGACTTTTTATCCATATCAACCTCTTCCAGATTTGTCCCTTTTTCAGATTTGTCCTTTATTTTTTTCAAAGAAAAATATGGTCACCATAAAAATATACAGTGACCAATATAATAGGACACATATTTGTCAAGGAAGAATAGTGCAAATCCCTTAAATATCAAATATAAAGAAAAATCTAATTATGTTCAGATTAAAGTATGTTTGGACAGAAAAAATACAGAGTAAAGGTTTGCCCACTTCCCTGGTGGGAATAAAAAATGGCTTAAATGTTTAAAGTTTTCTTTGTAATTTAGGATTTAACATTTATACTTTTCTCTTCTTACTAATTATAGGCAAAATAATGTATGCATTTTGAAATTTGATTTCACATTATAATTTTCTGGAGAACAAAAGCTTTCTATTAACATTCTTTTTCAACCTCTGTTTCTTTAGAATAAAAAACTGCAATCTAATTCAAGATAAAAGTTTCATTAGAAACTAATCAGTAAGTTAAGAACCTGTATGCATAGAGCACAATGCCTGCAAGCACCAATGGGCGTATCTGGATGCTTTTATTAGAAAATAATTGATCAGGGGACTATTGCCCTTGAGACTATGTGTGACTATCTGAAAAGTTTTATCAGGATTAGTTGTAAACACTGATAAACAACTAGTCCATTCATTCAGCAATTCTTCAAAATTATGGAGGCACTGGACAACTAATCAAGTGCCCATTCCCAAAGTTATAGCAATTGCATCCACCCCAGTGGTCATATGATCAAAATTTAGGTTCTTGGCAGTATATCTGCACATATGACCATAGGGGCACATCCACTCACCCCTTCCCCACCCCTCTATTTCTGCCCTTTTGGCTGCTCTACACAGTTCTCCTACTTATGATTGTATGACTGTAACCTTGTTGCTGGTATCCTTACGATTTATATTGCCTATTTCCTAATATGATTTGATTGCTTATTTGTTCCCTATGACTATCATTAAGTGTTGTACCTTATGATTCTTGACAGATGTATGTGTTCTTTTATGTACACTGAGAGCGTACACCAAGACAAATTCCTTGTGTGTCCAATCATACTTGGCCAATAAAGAATTCTATTCTATTCTATTCTATTGCACTTGACAGTAGTGTCCTGGGGTTGAAGTAGAGGCCCGTAGCCTTCAGTAATCTCCTCCATCTGCCACCACCACTGGGTTTCTACTTCTGCCTCAGTGCTGTGCCACAGAGTATTGCCTCAAGATCCATGCTGCAGCCAGCTGCCACAGCACAAACCCCAGCCACTCTGCCAGCCTGAGTTCCAAAGCCCTGTCACACCTTCAGGAAGAGCGGCTAGAACAGTCAACAGTTGCCTCACATAGGACCAGACTGGGTACTCCTTGTCAGCAGCGGGAAGAAGATAACAAAAGTTAATTGAGCATGAAAGCCTGTGGAGCACAGGGCAGCAAGAGTGGTTGGAGTTTGGTCTTTGGTCCTCAAGTCCCCTTACGCAGTGCATTGAGTGCAGAGCAGGAGAAAAAAGCTCAAAGTGGCTTGTTGCTAAATACAGGGAGAGGCCTTAGTAATTGAAGACAGCTGACTGCAGCCTGACTTCAGAGACAGCTCTGACCCATGTTTCTGCATGGGAAACAATTGACTGATCTCCAGCTCTTGTGTGATGTTCTTGTGGATTCTGCTCATGAAATTCTGAGCCTGGACTGGCTGATTAACCTGACTTGGCTCTCTGAACTTTTGGATTTTGGATTTCTCTCCTGCTGAAAGCCAAACCATTTAAGCAGGCTTGCTTTTTCAGAGCTTTTTTTTGTGTTGATTTATGATCCTCCCGTGTTTGCTGTTATTTGTTTACTTTTGAAGTAAATTGCTAATCTCCATAGGAACTCTGCAAATGTGTAAATGAAACCCAACGCAACACACTTACCTTACCAAGACTAAGGCCTGGGAGGGACAAAGCCAGGATTGTCTAAGATTGGAATGGGTCCTGGATGAATGACTAATAGGATTTGGTAAATGATGGCAATAGGGAGTGTTGAGATTGTCATCACTAAGCACTTTACAACTACATTGTTTAGCAACATAAATTCCACTCCCAATTACCATCATACAGTGCATTCAGAAAGTATTCAGACCCCCTTCCATAGAGAGGTGTGTGCCTTTCCAAATCATGTCCAATCAATTTAATTTACCACAGGTGTAGAAACATGTCAGCGATGATTAACAGAACTGGGAGGCACCTGAGCTACAATAAATTTCAAGTGCTGGTGCAAAGGGTCTGAATCAGTGGTGGGTTACTACCAGTACGCAGTGCTTTGGGCGAACTGGTAGCGCCGACAATAATCTGATAGCAAATTGGTTGCCCCCGATGTTCAGATTGGCCTGCCTGTCCGCCCACCCGGGCTCCTTTTTTACCTTTATCTTCTCAGCTGATTAGTGCGGCAGAGTGGATTGCCATGCGAATCAGCTGTGTTCTCCCGAGTAGAAGTGCGGAAGTGGAAAATTTTTGCAAATTGTGCATGCGTGTGCAGCACATGTTTGGCACGCACATGCACACGCATGAAGCGTACACACAAAGTGCATGATCAGCGAACCGGTAGTAAAACCGGGAGGAACCCACAACTGGTCTGAATACTTATGCCGGTGTGATATTTCAGTTTTTTGTTTTTAATACATTTACAGACATTTCTCAAATTCTGTTTTCACTTTGTCATTATGGGATACTGAGTGTAGATTAATGAGGAAAAAAAATGAATTTCAACAACTGTAGAATCAGGATGCAGCATAACAAAATTGACAAAAGTTAAGGGGGTCTGAATACTTTCTGAATGCACTGTAATTCTTGGACTACCTGTAGATCTATTGTACTTTCTCTGAGATATAAAGATGGAAAAAGACATGAGGATATATTCGGGACCCACAAATTGGCCACCATATCAAGTCATAGGTAAACAATCAGTTATTAATTGAATCATAATTGGCTTTCTTTACAAATGTTAGTTGCTGGAATCAAACAATGCATTAAACTAAAGCCAAATAAAAGAATATTGCAACTAATTAGATAAAACACTAAAGTAAAATTGATGGCCCTAGTTATAAATATAATATATTAAATTAAAATTAGATTACATTCATTGGGTAAAAATTATCCAGAAATATAAATTAAATATAATATAATTTAAATATAAATATAAATCAGGTTGTCCAAAATTTTTAAGATTTGGGATTGCTTGTGCAGTTTTTGCCCATTAATGAGAGTTGGCAAAATTTGGACAACCTTTGTTATTATATTTCTAGGTAACTTTTTAAACTGGAAATTAAACATTCAGACAAATTGCAGATGAAGATTAGTTGTGCTGCTTGTATTCTCCTGCCCTCACTTCTCATTGCATTTTCTTAGCAATATGGATGTGCTCCCCAATCTCTTGAAAGGGATTGGGAATTAACTGTCTATCCTTCAAAGATAAATAGGTGTTCTGCTTTACATAAACAAAAAGTGATGCCAAAAACAAGATGTTCTGAAAAGTAAAGGACAGATTGAAAAATAGATTAAGATGATAAAATAAATGAAGAGTGAAAGAATATGGGAACTCCAGACTCCAGATTGGAAGGTGACTTTATTCTAAGCTTATTCACCTGCATCGTGCAGAATGCAAAAAAGAATGGGACAAATAATCTCAAGAAGTAACCTGTATGTTAGATCAGTGGTCCCCAACCTTTTTATCGCCGCGGCCCGCTGAGCGCGCGCAGGGGTGGGGGCACGGCCCAGGAGCTTTTGCGCACGGCCCATTGCGCACGGCCCAGGAGCTTTTGCGCACGGCCCAGGAGCCTTTGCGCTGCAGCGTTCATGTCCCCCGGCCGCTGCGCGGCCCGGTGCGAGGTACTCCACGGCCCGGCACCAGTCCGCGGACCGGGGGTTGGGGACCACTGTGTTAGATAACTACTCTCATTTTGTCTGCCTTCTGCTTTTTCTTGGCCTAGAAAATGGTGTTATATTATGAAATCTTGCTTTCTTGGGTTCATGTGTGCTTGTGAAGGGATGAGGAGATCTCATTTGACCCAACTCCATTGGGACTAGTTAAGGACAGCACCTTCTGGTGGCTGTTGTCCATGGAGTGCTTTCAAAAACAAACAAATGCTCACTCTCCAGGGTCTTGTCCACCAGGCACTTGTTATTTAGAAAGTATTTACCTGAGATAATGTATTTAAAATCCAAATCCAAAAAGGACTTTACTGCTTTATGAAGGCCTTAGCCTGATGAACCAGCATAAGAAGTGACCTTTACATACAGTCCAAACGTATTAGTTATGATACAAATATTTGTGGAATGCAGTTACCTCATCAGAGCCAAATTACAAGTATCTCTACATTAGAAATGGGGAACTTTGAATGACATAGCCAGTGATGGAGGATCCTTCAAGTTGTACTTCAGCAATACATATATGGAGAGTCATAATTTTTCCTGGCCCTGGTATATGCTATCCCTGAGGATAGGATGGGGATGACAAACATTAAAGTCCAAGTAAAATGAAATATAGAAAAATTATATTTAGCCTACTAACAGCAATTCCCAAAACAGTTTCCCCTATATTTTATATATATCTATATGTTATATAGATATAACAT